ATATATATATATATATATATATATATATATATATATATATATATACATTAGATCAAAATTACACGTCTTTCAAAGCACTCCATTTCCAGTCCGACGATTTCATCCCTACATTGAGCTGAATTCCTTCTTTTAGAAAAAAGGAAAAAAAAATAGGCCAAATAAATGTCAAATCCCGAACTGCCCTCCTCCCACCCTCTGGGGACACTCAGGCACTGAGAAGGGCAAAATGGGAAAAGAGGGTGTTAACAGACACGAAGGGTCAAGTCGGTCAAGCGGCGAAGGACCAGCCCTCGTCCGGGAGCGAGCGGAATAGCTCCTCCAGGGCGGGATCGGCGGCGGCAGCGGAAGAGGAGGAGGAGGAGAGGAAAAGGAGGCGGCAGAAGAGTGGGACTGGGCAGGGGATCCGGAGGACGCCTTGCTGCTCGTAGCCGTACTCCTGGGCGGAGCGACGGAGCAGCTCGACGAGGGCCGGTCGGCCGAGGAGCTCCGCCCGGACCGCGAACCGCTCCATCTCTTCCCCGACGCACAACGGCACGTGGCCCTCCGGCACCCGCCGTGGCCCCCCTTTCGCGGCTTGCAGCGGGCGGTCGTGCGACGAGTCCGCCACCCTTGACAGCCGCCGGATCAGCCGTTTCATTTCCCCTCCAATGATCGAGATCCACACAAAGACGAAGCAGCGATCGAGATCGAAGAGCGTCAGGGTTCGAGGACCGCGACCGGAAGGAGCGAAGAGAGAGCAAGAAACGTGGAGAGCGTGTTGCCGAATGAGGGGGGCTTCTCCTCGGTATTTATATCGCTTATCTCTCGGTCTTCCTCCATAAAATAGATGAAACCTTAATCGTACAACAAGGCGGTGTGTGACTTGGAAGGGACTACGGAGCGGTACGCATACTCCGGATATGGAGACATCCGCTGTTCCCATCTGAATAGCGAACAGCTTTCGCGATGGTGAAATCGAAACCCGACGCAGAACAGGGGTGGGGCGCCTGCGTACGTGTCGTTCAACTGTTGGTCGTGGGACATGGCGTGGGCTGTCGGGATTACTCGGAAGGATGTTGAAAGCTCGGGCGCGAGATATCGCGGACAGGAAGAGAAAATGGAGAGATGAAAGCGGTTCGTATCATTTCCGTAGTCCCCATCTGTACGGTGTCCGTGAAACGTTCCTCCGCTGACCTCAGCCTGCGGTCACTGGCAGTAGATCGGTGGGGCCCTCCCTCGCACGTTACGCTTCATTTGACCAAATTACCCTTCCCATTTTGTGATTCCGGAGGGTATGGCTTCGGTGTTGATGCATATTACGTACACCGACTTGTTGGGAACCGATGCCATTCGGTGACGGTGCAACGTATCATGAAAACTGCGACGTCCACCCCGCGGTCAAGTGCTTCCGGAGCGAGTGGGGGCGTTTCACGAGAGCGGGACGCCCTCCTAACTGCTGGTTATTTCGGTCATTTACGTTTCCAGGGGAACGACGGCACGTGGCGCTGCCGGCACCCGAGGCGGGCCCCGCCCACGTCGCTTTCTCCTTTTTCGCCGGTGGCGTTACCCTCGTCCGTACCCGAAAGCACCGACCTGAGGACGTGGAATTCCATCGCCCCCGGCCCCCCACGCGTTTTTGCCGGGACCCACCTGTTGTCACCCGGATGGAGGGGTGGGAGATCGAGCGCATCGTTTCTGCTGCTCCTGCGGGAACATTCTCATAAGAACAAATAAAGACCTGATCAGTCTCCCTCGACCTACTACGCATCAGCCTCAACCAGTAGAAAACCGCCAGGTTGACGGAATCGCTATATTTAACTCACGCCGCAGGCTTAGAACCAAAACCGCGTGGCACATCTAATGCTGTAATTACTTCACCCCACCGGCCGCCCCGGTTCACCCATCTCACCCACCTGCCTTCGGCCGGGGGAAGAGGATGATCTGGAAGCGGGCCCCGTTGTCAACTCACTCACTCGCAATAGGCGACGGCTCGTACGAATTCCTTACACTTATTTAATGGTGCGCCTGGAGAACAGACCCCGTGTGGGCCCCACACGACACCGACTGGGTTGTTCGAATGGGTCATTAGGGTCTCGGAGACGCACACCTAAGCGCCCAACCGCCACAACCTGTCAGCTTTATCCGGTCTCAAAGCCGGCGAAGCCCTCTCGTTTTGCCTCTCCCATCCATCTAACAGACGGAAACGAGCTCATTAATAGCTCATAGAAACACCTGCTTAGCGCATGAGAGAGAATCCACAGCTGTCAAGTCGATGGTCAACACAATTGATCATTGGTCAAAGAAAAGCGTTAGTGTAGTCTTTAGCTCTGCTACTAACATACTCGTAGAACTAACTATCTACGATGAACTTGATATAGGAATACGGGACAAATTATTTGTTTTTACTTGAATAAAATCTGATGAGACAAGTTGTTACGTGGTAACGTGTAATTATGTTACCTAGATTAATCATGAAGAAGAAAAAAGAAGGAAAATAAATCATCTAGCTAGCTACAAGAAGGGAATAATACTATTAGACACTAAAAAGAAAGATTATCTAGCAACGTACCATCACCAAAAAAAAATTGGAAGTACAATTTATGTAATTAGCCTTGATATGATTGGTTTTCTTTTCTTTCTTATTATTTTTTTTCTTCTTATACTTAGAGCATATATAAAGACTCTAAATATTAGAGAATAGATTGATAAATTGAGTTATTTTTCATTAATATATGTGTGTGGTGTAAGGACATATTTGTATTTATGATGATATGATTTTATCATTTATGTACTAATATGGAAATGATAATCTAACTAATATTTTATCATCACATCGATGACATGCGATCGAAGCCTCAATTCGATGTGGCTGTCACGGTCGAACCTCCGGTGCCATGTGGATAAACAAGTGATCGACATGCGACTAGTAACTAAGTGATATACAAAGGACATATGATCGACACCTCGATATGATGATCGAGTCAAATCAATCATCATTACTGTAATTATATTTAAGCAGGAGAACAATACATAACTTTACTATAATTATCATCGAATGATCAGAGTAATAGCCCTCAAGCCCATTATCACTATAAAAGGGTTTCCCTCATGGATAAATATTCTCCAAGAATTCTAAATCTTTCGTTTTCCAAAGTAACTTTAGCATCAAAGAAATATTTAGCTCCCGACACAGTTTTACGGGTTCGATATTTTTAAAGTCAAACGAACCTCATCTTAATTAAAATTAGACTAAGATTAACTTAGAAAAGATCCTCAATTAGCTTTGAACTAACATCCAATTTAAATAATTAAAATTTGAATTAATACTTACAAAACATGGGGACATAAAAAGTCATTATATTGAGAGCTCTCTCTCTCTCTCTCTCACTCTCTCTCTCTCTCTCTCTCTCTCTCTCTATATATATATATATATATATATATATATATATATATATGTGAATAAGAGCTAATATGGTTATTATCTCTTACTATTATTTTTCTTTTTCGCTCCTATATCTTCCAAAAAAATAAATAAAAAAAATAAAAAAATAAAAACTACCTCAATTCCTCGTACTACGTCGAGGTCATCGCATAGAGTCCCAAGCATGGCATCATACCGATGCTGCCACTCAATTGATAGGAAGATGCGGTAAAGTCATATAGTGTGAGAGACTAACTGAGTCAAACCGTCTTTCCTAGAGAAGGAAACCGAGAAGGCCATGAAGAATGAATGGTCTGTGATCAACCTTTCATCTTCTGGGTTTGTGCATGAAGGTGACAGAGACGACCGGTGCAGGATGTGTAGTCATGGAGATCAAGACTGGGATTGGCTGATGTCATTCATGGCATGCATGCATGCATGTCGCCTGTGAAAACTCCTGCACCCCACCAAACATGGCGTCCATTGATGTTTCATTCAACGTGGACTTTCATTGGTTGGGGGAGGTGAGCAGGCTCAAGGCGATGGAGGAAAAAAAAAGAAAATAAATAAACAAAAGGTAAGATAATATTTTTAAGTGTACATATATTATTTTACTTATGAATTAATTATGATCCTATTTATAGAACCTAATGCTAATTATCTCACTCTATCTATCGTATCATCCATGGTTGAATTAGATATAGAAACTATTCAATCGGAACTCAGTTGTCTTCTCTTTATGCTCTTTCTCTGATAGTGTGCGGCAGCTTTTAGAACACTGCTTTAATGCTCACTTTGTTTCATTTGGAAAAATGACATGCATTTTGGGGGTTGCTTTTCCTCCGTCTAGTCTATTCTTATGGTCATTATTGCCATTGTTCTTTGGTGGAATGATGTCTCTCCTTTTACCATTTTTCAGAAAACTATATCTTTTGTGGAACAAAAAATATATATATGTATATAGAGAGAGATGAATTATAACTTCCAAAATCTTCTTTATGTTGGAAATGGTAGGTTTAGTGGTATATTTAATCGATCAAAATCATTTTCAAATGAACGAAAAATTATATTTTTTTGCTCGGAGAGATATGAGATTTCGTCAGAATATATATATATATATATATATATATATATATATATATATATATAGTAATAATAATAATAATAATAATTAGCTTGTTGAGAAAAATAATCCGACAAGAAAATAATCAAACTTAAAAAATATTTATTCTATATCAATCAGCAGTCAACTTCTTATCCGGCAATCCGCACAGCATGAACAAGGAAATATGAACCGCAGTAGAAAAGCTTGCGTAAGCTTTCTCTAATCTTCCTCTATAAAACCCGAGCTCGCTTTTATCGAATTGTTGGGTGGGTGGGGAAGTAGGATTCATGCTCCTGAGCACCAAATGGGAGTTCAGCAGGAGTTGGGCTATAATTCCACGCGACGTCGATCATTTTCGACGGATAGTTGGCGTGATCACTCACACCGGCCCGAGGTAGCTGCTTCTCGCCCTGGGATACCTCGACTCCTCTCTTCTTCTGGGAATATCAATATCAATATTTTATATATATATATATATGTAATATATCTAAATAACATTCTTAGATCTAAATAAATAATAGTAGATTCATAGATCCCTTATGTAACATTCTTAACGAAACGTTAGCCATCAACTATATATAACCTCTCAACCTATTTATAGAATGTCTTTTACTACTACAATCTCAAACAAGTATACATTCACCAACCTCATTATTAACCAAGGACAAGCTCATAAGCGTAATCAAATCATCGACACCAAATTTTCTGATCATGGAATACTTTACAGTAGCACAAGTGACACAACAATAATCTTGGGACGAATCCATTTATGGCCATGATCTGCAAGCACTATGCTTCTCTTCCACCATGGCAGACAGTATGGAGACTTGTAAATGAAGAGTACAAACCACCATTTGTGGTTTAACTCAATGAACACAATGTACACTTACGAGTCGGTCACAATGTACCGATTAGGACAGAGACTTGACACAGCAGGTTGCTGCAACTTTCCTGCTCATCCATGGTACAACAGTTAACAGTAACCTCGAAGCTGGTTCAGAGAACAGCACCAAATGGCATAACATATACATGTTAAAACAAGACATTGTTGGTTTGATAATACGTTATGGTGGTTTAAGAAACAATGTCATCTGGTGTTTGGTTGACGGTGAATAGCAATGTAGCTCGAAGCTCCATGGCATATGCTTGACCTTGCACAAATGAGGTAATTATGCCCACTTGTAAAGTGAATCTGCAGGAATCAACGATAATTCAACAAAATAAAAAGATAAGATATCGGGAAAATGAAAACAAAACATCGACAGTTGATACTGCATGGCATAAGATGACCAACAGAAAAGGCTTCAAGTACAAGTGATCATTTCATCTTATCAGACAAGTCCTTTTAGGCTCTGTATGCACCTCAAAGGTAAATAAGACACACTAGAAAGTTAGCCTATGTTTGTTATAGATTAAACATTCATCCGTAAGGTAAACTGGTAAAGGGTGTTTCTGAATTGTAATTATTCAAACAAGAGAAGCTCACAATTGAAACTTGAAAAAATATTATTCACCCGCCGGAACGAAGAATTTATATGCAACAAAGTAAGAAACGCTAGCATAATTACGGTTTGATGCATTCCTGGATCAAATTTCCTTGTGGATATGCTGTGCTCCTATGTCGTCCAGAAATCATGGTAGCAAGTTTGTTGGTCATTTTTCTTCAATTAGTGAAGTGAAAGGAGAGGATGAGAAAATGTTGCTTGAATTACGAGGGGGCGCATATTACAATGAAACAACCACACACATCATTGATCAAAATATAAGCATTTTTGTAATAATTTAGCAGTTCATAACATGTAACAAAATTTCAGCTCCAGAGAAAGAAAGAAGGACAAACCGTTTGGGTGATCAACATGCAGTCAGTAGCGATTGGCACTGCTTCAGCTTGGACCTTCGAACTGCTCTCTTAGGCGTTCATATTTCTTCAGTTCATCCATTGATAGTGAGGGAGCTAAGTCTCCCAGTACCTGAGCAGCAGTAGCGATACCACAACTTAAGAAGTAAATTATTCTGGACTTGTGTCCAAACAACTATATTTTAATAAGTAGCAATAAGATGGAAGACAAACCTTCATGAAATCATTGATTTCCACAATGACTGAATCTGCTTTATCATCAATAGTTGGATTTGAGCCATCGCTTGATGTCTGTAGCAAAAGAAAATTGTCTTGTAAGCTAAAAAAATCATCGACGAGTGAAATACACAACGAAAAACCATAGTAGTTCAACTATCTGATATCAAAACTAGATTATGAGGAAATGCTCATTACAACACTAAATGTTCATCACAAACTGAAGATTAAACTGACTGATGATTTAAGCACAGGCAAAAAGATCCAACTGGAAAGTGAAATCGTTTGCAAACTTCCAAGTGAAGCAAACTGAGGGTAACCAATATGTCTTGCTCATATTTGTGACCCAAAGAGAAAATTCGAACCAGAACAACGAGTGTTCTTGAACATGTCTATCAATTGAAAACCATATTGTCATAGACAGTTACTAAGTCTACACAGTTTCTTCTTAACTTGAAGGCTTTAAGATATCAGTAAAGGCAGAACAATAGGAACTTACATATTGATGCGGTCAATACTCACGAGAATAACATTCTAAGAGTAAATGATGCTTGAGAAGGGTTAACTCGTTCATTAGAGCCAGGAATCCCCTCTCAATATCAGCAAACCATGAGTTTGTTCTCCTATCCATTCTGATCAGGCTTAACTAAAAATGGATTCTGAAACAAAAGCCTGAACTCCTAGTTCCATACAGAGATGAATGACGATTCAATTTTTGCAGTGACTTCATAACGGGCAGGTACACTTGCACATGTGAGTCACCAAGGAGAACTTCAAGTGGTAATGGTTGGAGATGATAAAAGGGTAACATGAAGAACAGAGTTGATTTGAAGCAGACAGAGAGACAAAAGAGAATGGCATAAGAATATATTACTTTAAGCCACACGTGAATCTGGATCAGATAAAAGACCAGCCAAGATTCAACTTGTGCTCAATTTCACAACTACATTTCATAAACCTTTTCCACATCCACCTAGCAGGTAGGCCTGGTCTTGCTACTGACGGTAGCTTGATCTTTTCTTTTCGACAACAATTGTAGCTTGACATCAACATTGAATACAGACAATATTACTGGGTTTTGTTGATCTAATAAATTTTTACGAATAAAAAATTGATATTTATAGGTTGTGTTTATCATAAGCTTCCTACCACAGTGAGTATTGATCAAGTGGAGAGTACAGAATCCAAACTGCCAAAACTAAGGAAGACCCAGGCACAAATTTAGTCATGATATACATTGGCCAGAAAACTTGGTCCTGTATATCAGAAACATGTCACTAGAACAGAAAGTCAACTACAATTAGCATTGTAAGACACCACCCTACTCAAAGGTTACACATTCCACATGTCCAATCAACCATCTACGTGAATTGCTCCACTATGAATAACAGTTGTCATATGTTTGATTACAAACAGGACATCATATCTCTTTTTATCATCATTAGTAGCACTAAGGTTGTGTTTGGTTGTTTGTGCTTCTTTTTACCTGCAGATAGAGATGTATTGTATTCATGTCCAATTTTATGGGTCAAAGCCCAACTATAGCAAGCCAGCTCACAAAACCATGATCGGTCTAATTATCTGCAAGAGATTCCGGAGACTTCAGCTGCAGGTTGTGATGAAAAACGTAGGCACAGCCGGCTCTTGCTACACATTCAAGTGTTTTTTAAAGGTTGCCTGTAATCAGGCACCTGCAGTCCTGATTGTGAACAACCAAACATGCCCCAAGTACCTCACAGACTTATTCCTGTTAAGATAGTTGACAAATACTAACAGAAACCACATTTCTTCCTCTGTTAGGATGCACAAATACGTGCATTAGGTGTAAGATTCTCAATGGCAGAACTCAGAGGGAGCTCTCTAGTAACATTTGGTAGATAGATACCAGAAGACTGAGCAGGTTTTGCTAGCATAGAGAAAATTTAATTCACGAAGTTGGTAACTCACCTTACGCTTTGCAGCATGAAACCAAGCATCTGCGCATAATGCATACATGTCTGCACCAGTAAAATTTGGAGGGCATTTCCTAGCAACTGAGAATAAAGAAACATTCTTGTCCAGCTTAAATTTTCTTGTAAGTGCTTTCAAAACCCTGCAAAAGGGAAGATATGTCATATGGCATTAATGAACTACAAAGTTGATAACAATAAGTTAAGCAGAAAAGAACTAGCCTCTCTCTGTAAGATGCATCAGTGTTGACTCCAACATACAGAAGCTTGTCAAATCGGCCAGGACGCAGAAGTGCTGGGTCAATAAGATCAGGTCTGTTACTTGCCCCTATTATAAATAAATCCTACAGTAGATAAATCAACCAAAGAAAGTTAGTGCAAGTGGGAAACAAATTCTCACAAGAAAAAAAGAATTGCTACTTGATAAATTTGCATTAGAGAAATCATATATGGAACATTTGTAATGAAATCCATGATAAGAACCTGACTGGAATCATTTAGGCCATCAATTTCTGCTAGCATCTACAAGATGAAAGAGAACAGTTATGAAATGATTGACAAATATGATACCCTAAGTGAAAAAGAGAGAACACTTGTGAGCAACAAAACTATGATTACCTGTGAGACCACTCTATCCATGACACCACCTGAATCTCCAGAAGCTCCCCGAGCAGGAGCAAGGGAATCAAGCTCATCAAAGAAAATGACACAGGGCCGTGCAGCTCTGGCCTGCAGAAGAAATCAAGATGAATTTTATCTAATTCTTACACCTTATGACTTCCTTGGTTGTAGCAAAAAAGATACCTTCTGAAAGATATCCCTGACATTCTTTTCTGATTCTCCTATGTACATGTTGATCAATTCTGGCCCCTTCACACTCAGAAAATTTAGTGAGCACTCCGTCGCAACAGCTTTTGCCAACAGTGTCTGGAAATTATAAGTGATTAAATACTAAGAAACAACTTCTGTTCAGAATCACAGATGGTACACTAAAAGAAATACACCAACCTTCCCTGTTCCTGGAGGCCCATAAAGAAGAACACCTGAACGTTTGCGCAATCCAGATGAAAATAAATCCTTATGCAGAAGAGGTAACTGCAAGCATCATAGAATTTACATGTCTTAGAAATAAAGACATTTAAGACCAAACTTTCCTAATAAACCAAGTTGGTCACGATTGCTCTCTAGTTCCTAATGCTTGCATCTCATCCAAAAAAACAGCCCAAAGCAAGGATTCAGAAAAACCTCACTACCAAGCTCCAAAAACATGCTAAGCAAAACAACAATAATGATAGGTAGAAGGCACAGTTCTCAAAGTTGCACCTATAAGACAAAACAATTCTCAACCACAATAAGAATTTCATCATAGATATGAAGGAAACAGTTTCTCAATGCTTCAAGTTTCAAGCACACATAGAAGAAATACAAGAAAACAACAAGGAAACAAAGCCTAAACTCTGTACTGTCAGGTCTCATGTATATATGCACCTGAACTGTATCAAGAATTGATTTCTTCACTTCTTCAAGTCCACCAACGTCTTCCCATTTTACGTTGGGCACCTAAAACAAAAGCATTTTCAGAATATTGTATGAATACTGATTCAAGAATTAACATAGCCAGATATCTCCCAACAACCAAAATCAAGCTTTGTTGGCTGAAGTTGATTGACTCACTTTTGGTGCACCCAATGCTGAAGCATTCCTTTTCTTCGATCTTTCCAATGCTTTTGAAAAGTCTTCCTTCTCTATGTGCTTATTTGCATAGTCATGTGAGTTATCTTCATCTTGAATAGATGCAAGACCTGTAGCAGTAATCTCACTGAAATCTCCATTTTCAGATTTGCCACCATCAGTGAGAGTTCTTTGTACAAAATTGGCACCAGCATCTGCAACTAAAGCATGTATATCCCTGGGCATAAAACCCGATGTCTGAGAAACTATATCTTTTAGAAACTCATCGCCAATTGTCTGCAAGCAAGACAACTCTTTTCAACATCTAGATTATTGGCACATTAGAAAAGATTCAAAAGAAAATAAAAAACCTTATCAAGTGTCCTGATGGATCCCCTGAGTGACCGAGACAGCATAGAGATCCTTTGTGCCTCGTTCAAAGGACTCATGCTTATTTCATGGCTGAAACAACGTCTGATTTGTGGTTGCAGGCCATCAGAACTGCCAGCAGCCGCAACTAGGAACACCCTGCTGTTTAGTTTTTCAGCTTCAACGAGAAACTGAATAGCAAAAAATGCCAGAATTAGTCCCTGATTTTGACCTAATACCAATGTGCTAACATGAAAAACATGCATCCAGAACCGATCAAAGAAACAATTCAAATTTCCAACTAGAAATGCATGAACAATGATACACAAACAACTTACAGAAGCATCATTTGCCATTTTCCCTGGATAAGAATTCTCATTTTCAGAAAGTGGCTCTGTGAACTCCCTAATGACTGATGCAATTTCAGATGTAATGCCAACTTGATCAGATCGTGAACCTTCATTGGAAGATAAATTGGTGAACACGTCAAAGTGGCGAAGCAGAAGTAGACATGGTGAATATCTGTGAAGGATTCAGATTCATGAGATCATTCCTAAAAATGAAAAATGAAATCCTATACAACAAAATGAAAGGAAAATATCACTATCTTTGTTGTTATTTTTTTTAAGAGAAAAAAAATAAACAAGAATCAAGCAAGCAATACAACTGGTAAACACAACACTAGAAATAAAAGAAATTCATAGATTTGAAGGCGATCTTTGAAATATAGAAGGCATTAACTTGACATATACCTAGATGCCGATTTGAAGGCATTTGTAAGTGCAGCAGATGCTTTCTTATCTGAGGATTCGGTAAGGTCATAACAACTATATTCAACAACATGGAGGCCTAGACATTGGGCAACATATCTAACAACAGTTCGCTTTCCGCACCCTGTACGAAGCATGTGTCATATGAACCTATAAATGCAGGTGGTGCACATCAAGAAGTAAAATCTGAAACCAGAAAATTGAGGATTGAGCTTGAAAATCACCTGGATTACCAGACAGGAAGACAGAAACCCTGAATCTTGACAATAAGGCCGAAGGACATATAGCAGGTGCAAGAATGGATGTCAATTTCTTCACTGTTTCAACATGCAAAGGCGTGAAGTCATTGGAAGAGCCAATAAATCTGTCTGGAGGAATAGAAGAAGCTGCACTTCCTCCAAGAACTAGTGCTGTTTGATTGCAGTTGACACAAAGAATGGGCTCATCTGATGGCTCCATGGACATAACCTGGAAAAAATGTTTTCCGCCATAATTACTACTATTTCAAATGTAACACAAGCTAACTTCTAATATAAAGAAAGAAAGCACAGTGACACAGGATTACCTTGAAATATACTATGTTACTGGACAGCCCTTTTGGGCTCTTCTGGTTACAAAAAACACACATTTCCGAACTGCAATTCCAATCTACACGAATATAGAAAACATCTCCCCTTGCCAGGAACTTATCAACTTTAAAGTATTCATTTAAAGCTAAATCAATCATATCTTGACGATCACCTTCCTCGGTTGCTGATTTTCCTCTAAGAGATCCAAGTAAACCACATTCAGGGATCTTCACGAAGGAAATTCTTAGGTGAGTGGCATATTTAGGCAAGTCAGGCCATGGGATAAGGTCAATGAATAGTGGGTGGTAATTCGTCTCCTTCTCTTCTCCATGCTCTTCCACTTCAAACAATGATGTCAAAGATTCTTGGCCACTACGAACAAGAACCTTAAGACAAGATATATGCAATCCAAGGTTAAATGCTAATAAGGGAGTAACATAGGCCACTTCCTGATCTGAGGGACAATAAGCCTCTGATGGGTATGTAAAAGAAGGTAACAATTTCATTACACGTTGAGAACTCGAAACAGAAGTAGCTTGTTGTGTACATCCTCTATATTTCTCTCCAGCAAGTGGATGATGAAGAACTTTAGCTTTGGCGATCCTTCCTACATTAGTCTCAGAGTTCTTTAGAAGAATCTGATATCACAATACATCAGAAAAGCTTAAGAATAGCATCTCAAATTGCATAAATAAGAAAAACAACATCAACATTTCTTCCTGCGTTTTTTTTAAATAAATATAAAAAGGACATCAACACCACTGGAGCTTTTAATTTGACATAATACACCAACCAAACAGTAGAGCAACAAAACAAAGAACTACAACCAATACAAGTATCAGAACAAATCGTGCAACTTGGAATACAACCAAGCACAACTAAGAATTTAACCAGATTATAATTACGAATCGATTTTCAGGTCCCTGACTAGACAATCTCAACTACAAATCCAAGGTCAGTTGCACACACCAAAGTATACATTCAGAACCAAGCAAGCAGTGATCACGACTCACACGGAAATCAACAACAAAATGTTCAAGTTAATATAACAGAAAAAGATCCCTACTTTCCTACTAACAAATAATCACTCAAAAGTCACGTTCTACAACATCAAATTCGTTTTCTCTTTGTTCTTTCCTTACCAGTGATCCACTCGCTATGGCCAGTTTCTTCAGCACAGATGCAGAAAGCCCCACCACGAAGAAATTCTCCTTCAGCTCATCGCTTCCAACTCCACCACTGTCAGAAAATCGAAGAATCCCAACGGGCAATCGCAGCTCCGGCCGGCGCCGGTCTGCAGCGCCACGGGCTTCCCCCTCGGCACCAACAGCCCCATCGCCAACGCCCTGGGATCCGGCGGAACCAAGAACAGAATCGAGGAGGGCTCGAGTGGAAGAGAGGACCAGCGGCTTTCGCCTATCTGCCATCCCCGACTGGACCGAACGCCAGCAAAACCTCCCTGCGGATTGGAATCGCAAGATCAAGGAATACGAACGCTACGAAGTGGGTCGGTAACGAGTATGACGCCTTCAACGGCGTGAGCAGGTCAGGGGTACCAAATTGGTCTTGACGAGTGCTACGACTACAAGGGGCCCATATGAGGCCCACAACGAGTCCGTCACCGAAGCTCACACGTATTCTTCTGTAGGCCCATGGACTTCTAACGTGTCAAAGTATTGCCAGTCATCAATATATATATATATATATATAGCTCGATTTGGATCGGGTCTGGTCCGCGTCAGTCAACGTATCGAATACGAGTCCGATGTGGTCCAGGCCAGACCCGAGCTCAAATCGAGACAGGGTCTGTTCAGATCGGACCCAATAGTGGCCCTTCATCCGAAGACTCTTCGTTTTGACATGATAGAAGATTGAGTTTACAATTAATCTAATTTATTATACGAAGACATGAAATTAGTTAATATAAAAATATTAAACAATTTAATTAAATCAAAGGAAACATGAAAGTTATAAAATTCATTAAATCTTTATCATGCATCGAAATAATTAAATCAATACAAAAGAATAATCTAGCATGATATATTGATCCAAATATCAAAATAATTAAAACGACATTGCCGATTCCCAAATATATATCATGTATCATGATTTTAAAAATCTAACATCAATTAATATTCGAACCTTATAGAAATTTTAAACGACTAAATCAAATATTTTTAACTTGAATTAGAAGAACAATGAGCCACATGTTGTTCTCCTAACGCCAGGACACCACCTTCCTCCCTCGTGGTCTTTCTTATTGTTGGACCTTTACATCCCCTACAAGACCTTGTATATATGACCATGCATTCTTCAACATAATGTGATCACAGAAGGATATGTTGATCACTAATCCAAGTTATTTAAGATGATATCCCAGATGAATCTACGTTCACCTCATCAATGTACCACAGAGCATCTATTTACCTATACAGGACAGATTCATATTATCTTACCACTATAAAGAATTAGAGTTCCACCAGCACATAATAGAAAACACTAATAAGTCAGTAAGATCAACGGCAAGCTTGAAGTACCTTAACAAGTCTTTCAATCTCCCCTTTGACCTGATGGTGCGAACTCTTTTGTCAAATTAGCTGGGACAAATGAGCCAATACATGGGCTAACAGCTTAACATTGTCGTTATTACTGCAGAATACTAGCTTTCACACACACACACAACCATTTATATATAAAAACGTTTTCAAGGAATCAAGCTATCAAATTTAGAATATATATGTTGGGCCCTATGAATCCTCACTCCCCACAATGAAACATCATACAACATAATATCATGCTAAACAGAAAATGATACCACCTGTGGTCATGAGAAATATGAAGAAATTTTGATACGACAGAGAATTGCCTGCATTACTTGTAACCAAGCAGAAGAAACTCATATTACTGCTCTGCTCGAGAACTCATATGGATATGCACAGTTTAGCTCCTCAAGAAATAAAGGATTGAAGACTGGCATAGTGGCTGAGAATTGTGCCAGTAAAACATTCGTTTTGCACAGTAAAACAATTGCAGATGATCTCTGACATTAAATCTTCTGGTGGTTACCTTTCTTTTTTATGTTTTTTCTGTCTCTTGTAATCTTCATATAAGCTTATGGATGACATCGTGTGATTTAATTCTCGCCTCAACCTCTCATTCTCCATAATACCTTTGTTCAAAATGAAATGATCTTTGAACTTCCTTGTCAAGACACCCTCATCTATCATGTTCTCATACTTCCTTATTTGATCAGGATCCATAACCACAAAGTCCTTTTCTATTTCTCTTGTCCTTTTGCGTCTCAGAGAGGCAGCTTTGCTAGCTGGTTTGAAGAGCTCCCGCTCAGTAGATAAGTCTGCAAATGCTTGTAGTGGGGAGGCAGTGGAAAATAGAACTTGAGAGTGTGCTGGGTTCATGCTTGCCATGCTTGAAATACTCGCAGCCATCGATGAGATAGATGGATTATAATGCTTCACCAGAAGGCTAAGCTCCCAGAGGACAGAAGCAAGGGCACCACTTATATTTGGATCCGTAGCATCAGGTCGGTACTTCTGAAAATAGCAGCTTTGTAAGAACGACGACAAGGTGAAACACTATTTAAGGTAGGACAGAATCCTTACTGCAACTAAACCGGCCAGTGAACCACCACCAGCATCATTCTCCAACAGATTTCGGCACTTGCTATTTTTTTGCAAAAGATGTTTCACTGTAACCAAGGCTGCAAAACAAAATAGAAGATTTTAAAAATAATTTATGCATGCCGACTAACCAACTTCTTGGTTTATTCACATACAAAAAAAACGTTCTTTATTTCTGCAAATGGCCTGAAGGCATTTAATTGTTTGATATGCAATAAAAATATACTATAGGAATACAAGTTTTATAAATTTTGTTGAACATAAATGGTCAGCTAATTCTCAATTGCAAAATCCATTTCCAGCAAAACCCAAGATAGGCATTTACTGTTATGGTATTAAGACAACAAACATGATACCCTAAGAAAGCAACACATTCATACAGTAAACTCATGTTAAGCATACAAAAAGAGTGGTGGGAGAAGGGTTAAAATCAAAATATGTAGAGATCTAAATATTATGTCCCAGAAACATCATTATTTTTTTCTTACAAAGAAAGAAGCAACATCAAAGTGATTATAATGTAATATAATGCGTGAAAATGATAAAACCGCTACCCGAGCATATAATCTAAGTTAGAAGTCAAGAAAGATTAGTACCTGCCATAGCCTCTGCAGATCCAAAAGACAGAGAAAATGTTGCCAGGCGTTTTATGAAGGCCGCAGCTCTCTGCATGTCATGTTGTTTCCCCTCCCAAAGCATCGTCTTTAGAGCTTTAGCTAACACTTCACCACAGTCTCTGCTTCAGGGGAACCAAACCATATAAATAGTATAATTCAATCATAATGCAATAATAGCATCACATCTCATAAATCTGACACAAAGTTTTGCTATCTCATAGACATTCGTCAACTCTAGATTTAAGTCCAAGCAATTATAAGTTCTGGCAACTTGAGGGAGAGAACAGATAAGCTAAATGAAATTTGCATGTTTACCTAGGGACTGCATATGCAGAAATATAGGGTTTGAAGAATCAACACACTCCAATTCATTCCACGATTGAACATTCCTAATCTTTTGAACTTGCAACTCTCTGTTTTAGAAAATATTGTGCAGATGCAATGAAAACTTACAAGGACCTAGAACAATCAATAATTACAAATGGCTTGCTTATGTTAGACAGTATCAAGAAGCCAAATCTACCTGTTATTGTGCTGGGTTGGGTTGGATCATTTGGGACTTGGGTGAGGTTACACTAGACCTAAACCTGACCCATGTATAGCCAAAGCCAAAATTACCTGAAACAAACCAACTTGGCAAAATTGCTAGATATATCAGATTTTCTTAGCATCAACTTTATACTGGTATTATCATGCTTTAGTTAAATGGAAACCAAGTAATCCAACCCAGAATGAACTGAACCAACCCACAACTCATCAACAATCTGATCCAAGTCAGGGTTAGTCAATACCAAAGTTGGGTTGGGTAGAGCCAAAAGAAAACCCAACCGGAGTTGGTTTTAGTTGAGAGATTTGTAAGTGTTGGATTCCCTTTAGTTTAAGCTTCAACTAACCAACCTGCCAAAAGTGCAACCTTAAATCTAAGTGGGAACAGAAAACTTAACTCGTGCTGATGATTATGAAAAAAAAAGTTATTGGTGTTTAGTAAAGCTACAAAGAAGAATGGTCTATCCGAATAGCAGTTATATCCAAGCATGGTAAAGACAAAATCCTTCCACAACACAAAAATGCTGTTTGTTAATATGCAGATTTTATTGTATAGCACATTGGATCCAGATCTATTTGGCGGCTTCTGAGTTTTAGCTCCATGTAGTATCATTAACCACACATCTTATAATATAGCTACTAAAGTAGATACGCAATCAACCTATCAACTATCAAGCCATTTAAAAAGTAAAGAGAGCAGAAGCAAATACACAGAAATATATAAGGTACTTATGTGTCAACAATTTCTATTGAAATCAGTGCATAATTAGCAAACGTTGACGACTGACCTATCAGGTCTATAGTCCAAAAGAAGGTTATAGAGCTGGACATAAAAATCTTGCAGATCCACGTTCAGTGCATCAAGATTATTCCTCATCACCATAAAAGCTACTATGCAGCACTGCAGACGTTCTGAAACAGACAAGTGATTCTGCATTGAACCATCATTGTGGTCACTGTATCCAGCAAGTTTTTTCAGGCATTCCAAAAGATCACCCATAAAATCCAAATCAATCAAATGTGAAAATTTTCCCAAGCCATTCAAGCATGAAGCAAGTAATGGATATGATCCAGATCCACAAGATAAGGAAACAGCATTTACTTTTGACCTGCAAGCAAGGGGCAAAGTATATAAGCATGCAACAGTTTGTTTACTAGTAAAGAGAAAATTATACCAGCAAAAGATTCACCTTGAAGCAGAAGGATCCATGCTATGCTTCAAAATGCGAAAATATGTTTCAAATACAGCAGTAAGTGTTTCAGACTGCATCATTTTCCTATCTTTTGAGTCTGGAGCAAATGAAACAGCCTTTAGATCTGCACTAACCTATAACAGATAATAAGAACAATTAGAATCCATCAAAATCATACATTCAATTGTAGAAAGTTGCTAATCATAAAATACCTCTTCTCTTGTTTTCTTCATCAACTCATGTTTATTCTTCTTTCTATCACTGCCTTGGACTTCTTTTGAACCATCTTGGTTTTTCCATTTCCCTCTTTTCTTGGGTTTGACTGGCTCCTTCAAAACGTCTGATTTTCCAATATCTTCATCAAATGTCAAGGATAAAAAGACCTGTCAAAACATATGATTCAAATATGAATTTAGTACATTAAAAAAACCAAACATTTTTTCCTAAATCTATGAAATTATATAAAACAAAATTCTCCCATCATAGACCAGAAAACAAACTTAGAGAAGAAATCCTCCATCACAAACTAGCAAACATATTTAATCAATGAATATTT